CCAACCCCCCACCTCACCTGGCCGGAGGGGCCATGCGGGAAGTGCGGCTCCGGCTTCCACGCGGCATCGCAACTGCGCAGCGGGTCGGTGTCTGCAAGTGCGAAACTCCTAGAAGACCCCGGCGACTTCGGCTGAGCGCGAGAGAGCGGAAGACAGGGGGCGGGGCCGGAAGCGCGCGACCAATCAGCGCACAGGCAGGGCCCTTCCGTTTGCTGACGTCTCCGAGGGGCCTGAAGGTCACTGACGGCTCCGGCTTCCACGCGGCATCGCAACTGCGCAGCGGGTCGGTGTCTGCAAGTGCGAAACTCCTAGAAGACCCCGGCGACTTCGGCTGAGCGCGAGAGAGCGGAAGACAGGGGGCGGGGCCGGAAGCGCGCGACCAATCAGCGCACAGGCAGGGCCCTTCCGTTTGCTGACGTCTCCGAGGGGCCTGAAGGTCACTGAAAGAGCGTGACCACGCGATGGCGCCTCGTCGCACGCGGTTGGCGTCAGGAGCTGGGCGCCGGGGCTGTTTAGAAAACCGGAAGTGCCTGTGGCAAACTTGCCGGTCCCAGCTTAGCGTGAGTCAGAACCGGTTGCTGGTTAAGGGTCCGAGGGCCGGTGCGTCTTCCTTCAAACGTTTGTATTACTAACGTGGTACGTCACATCCAACCTTGAGAGCCAGACCTCTGTCGGGACTACCACTGGACCTTGGGCAAGTTACTTCACGTTTCTCAGCATTAAATCATTTAGATAAATATTTTTTTGAGGCAGTGTGGGCACGCAATATGAACCGAGGGAAAGTGAAAACTTTAGACAAGAATCGACGAAACAAAGTTGGTTCTTTTTGTATTTCTGTTGTCTGCGGATCCAGTCAGCAAAAGTTAATCGTGCTGTACGTGTATGTATTACTATACGTTTTCAACCATTTCACATATCTTATAGGATTTGTGCCCATAATTGAGGTAGCATTCACGGATAAACATGTTCTGATCTACAAGTGCCAGCTGGGTTGAGACAGCGCCGAATGAAACAAAACTACAGCTTCCTTAGTTTAAATCCAGGGAGGAGAGACACAAGCGCCTGTACAGGTCGGGTGATGGTGACGGAAGCACAGTCCTTGAAGTGGGGAAACAAGCCAGGTCTTACCAAGGGTAAGACCATTCCTGGCAGAGGGAACAGCAATTGCAAAGGCCCCAAGGGCCTGTGCTGCAGTAATAGTTGGTGTGAAATGTTTTTAACAATAACATTTTAGAGCCTCTGCAGTATTGGGGAAAAGTTGGCTGCTGGCATTTCAAGGAGGGCTTCATGGAATTTATGGAGGCGAGAGAGCAGAGGTGGAACCTCCATTTCTTCTTGGATGCCCATCAGAAATTTCCCCCCTTCCACCAGAGGTAGCAGAGTTTAACACAACCTTTCCAGCAACAGCAGGGTGTTGTGGAATCCAGGGGTAAATGCAAAACCTTTTCATGAAAAACAAAGTTTTATTTTCATAGGACTTCTTAAAAGAAATTAAAGCTTTATAAATGATAAGACTTTGGCCCTAGCTGGTTTGGCTCAGTGGATAGAGCGTCGGCCTGTGGACTGAAGGGTTCTGGGTTCAATTCTGGCCAAGGGCACATGCCTGGGTTTCGTTGATCCCCAGTAGGGGCCGTGCAGGAGGCAGCCAATCAATGATTCTCTCTCATCATTGATGTTTCTCTCCCTCCCTCTTCTTTGAAATCAACAAAAAATATATTTAAAAAGTAAAACTTCTGTTATCTACTTAATTTGAGTAGAATTTTTACTGCACTCATTAAGAGCCCATTCTGAGCCTGCAGTCCAGGCATATGCCCTGACTAGGAATCAAACCGTGACCTCCTGGTTCACAGGTTGACACTCAACCACTGAGCGACACTGGCTGAGTGATAACAGAAATTTTAAAACTGTACAAATCCTGTCCCAGAAATTCCATGTCTAGGAATGTAAGAAACAATCATGAAAAACAAATAAAAAACTGAGTCATATGTGTGAGAAGAAATTAAGTGTAAGGGTATTTAACAATATATGTAAAATAGGAAAGACCTATAAACAATCTAAATGTCCTGCAATATAGAATTAAATGTTATCTACATATACACTGAGTGGCCAGATTATTATTACCACCTGACGTTTGTAGGCAAATTAGCTATAATTTCGTGCTGAAGTTGCTAGAGGGCCAGACCATTATAAATAGGGAGGCAGGTGGTTTACCACGACAGTAGAAGTGATTTTTTTCTGAAGATATGGGTAAACAACACGATTTAAGAGCCTTTGAACGTGGGATATATTTGAACGTGAGTGGCCAGATTATTATGACCACTTGACATTTGTAGGCAAATTAGCCGTACACTGCGTTGTATGGGATATGGAAGCCGAAGGCCTGTTCGAACACCTTTGCT